ATATACGCAGTACACACACATATATTATGTAAACAAAAACTTTTATTTTGGATGCGATTAATCGTTTGACAGCACTAATTTATATACTTTTTAATTAATAAATTTATTTGTTCATTCGTTTGTTTGTTTAATAGTGGCATACTATTTATATACTTTCTAAATTTATGAATTTGTTACATTTTTGTTTGTTTGTTTATTTATTTATGTTTAATAGTAGCATATATATTTTTGTTTTTTATTTATATACGTTTAATAGTGACTATTTATTTATGTAGATGGTTTGATGTATTATATATGCAAATGTTTTGATGTATTATAGTACGATTTTGGAGATATTATTACTATAATATGAAACGTACACTATTGTTTATATTATTTAATATATATATATATATATATATATATTTAATATATTATTTAAATTGTAAAGTATAAAATATGTCATGGTAGTTTTTACATATTACAGTAATGAAAATGTAATTAGTAATAATAGAACTTGAATGTATTACAGTGTAAAATCTGATTATTTGTCATGAAAATAATGTCACAAATCTAAATGGTCCTTAGCAAGGGTTAATTTTTATGCAAAATATAATTTCATATTTATTTTCTTTTGATGTTGGGTTGAAATGTGGCCTGGAAGTGTTTTTTTTTCGGGCAGACTTCGATGTGAGGCTGGTTTCATTTGACCATCTGCAGAGAAACTCTTTCATTAGGTTTTGAGGATCTGGAGTTGATGGGATGATGTTCCTGCTACTGCTTGCGTTCTTCCTCTGGGGTTCTGATGCCTTTGATCCGAGTGGTCTCTCGCAGGTGATGTGGAGTGATGCAGCGGTGTGTTCTGCTCCTGCAGTAACTGTGTTCATGCGTGTTTCTGCCCTCAGCTGTCCATGCTGTTCACCGAGGAGTGCGATAAGGTGCGGGATCTGATGCACGTTCACTCCTTCAGCTACGACTTCCACCTGCGTGTGGTGCATCAGTACCTCGTGGGCTGTCACATGACCCTGCGGCAGGGGGACCAGCTCACGGCCTTTCTGGAGGGCTTCATCGCCCATCACCCCCACATCCCAAAGTTCGGACGCAACCACGTCTTCCAGGGTGAGCGCATGTCAGAAACGGCCATCTATTTCAGCTTTAGCACATAGTTGATTGTATTTTTATTTTTGTGTTTTTCTTGTCATTTGTCTGGCCTCATTGTAAGTGAAAATAATGCTGCATGACACCGTCACAGTAATTCACAACAATGTATTTATTTTAAAAGTGGCATATATTTATATATAGTTTTATTTATTTAAAAAAAGGTATTTATTTATTTATTTAATTATAGTGGGATATATTTATACATAATTTCATTTATTTATGTTTAATAGTGGCATATATTTGTATTTATAAAGGCTTTTATTTATGTATGTATGTTTAATAGTGACAAGTATTTATTTATTTATGTTTAATCGTGGGATATACTTATACCTCATTTAATTTTAGTTATGTTTAATAGTGGCATATATTTATATATAATTTTATTTACATATGTATGTTTAATAGTGACATTTATTTATTTGTAGTGGGATATATTCATATATTATTTATTTATTTATAGTGGCATATATTTGTATTCATATATGTTTTTATTTATGTATGAATGTTTAATAGTAACTTTATTTATAGTGGGATATATTCATATTTATTTATTTATAGTGGCATATATTTGTATTCACAAATATATGCATTTATTTATTTGTAGTGGGATATATTTGTATTCATATATGTTTTTATTTATGTATGAATGTTTAATAGTGACATTTATTTATTTAATAGTGGGATATACTTATACCTAATTAAATTTTATTTATGTTTAATAGTGGCATATATTTATATATAATTCTATTTACGTATGTATGTTTAATAGTGACATTTATTTTCTTATTTATGTATGTATTAATGTATGTTTAATAGTGGGATATAAATTGTAAAGTATTTATACATCATGTGACTTTATGCTGTTGGTTAAAAAAATAGTCAAAATACAGTCATGAGAATCTAATTAGTAATAATAATGACAGTTACAGAATAACTTGGATTCAAGTGTAAAATTTGTGTAAACTTTGATTATATCTCAAATCTCAGTGGTCCTAAGGTTTTATTTTTTGTTATGCAAAATATAATTTTGTATTTTTTTATTTTGGGTTAAAATGTGACCTGGACGTTTTCAACCAGATTCACCCACTGATAGGATATAGTTAATGTTATATTTATTCTTTGGTGTTTTTCTTGTTTTTGCCAGTCATGCATAATATGCTTTTCATGTGTCCTAGGGAGTTTCTCCATATCTACGGGAATGATCACAGCACATCAGCTGTATAATTACATCACTGATCACGCAGGCACTTACGGGATGAAGCCCTTGCGCATGTCTAAAGCTGCAGTTACCACCGATAACAAGAAGGGGGCGCCGAGCGCAGACCTGCACGAGTACGCACTGGTCGCTCTGTGGAACAGGTACTTTAACTGTTCACTCCTAGTTTGAGCAAGTGATGTTGTCATTTCATATATATCGTTCATATCATATATCCTAATATCATTCTCGTGAAGCTCTGGCTCATTTAAAGACTTGGAGGGATTGCGACACCATGATGACTTTGACGTGTCGCTGCTGGTTTGTCATAACGCCGCCCCGTTTGAGGAGCAGTCTGAGGGAGAGAGACACCTGCTCAGGTACAAACAAACGAGGAATACAGTGACTTTGTGAAGCACATTATGGCATCAGTTAAACACTATATTGGTAAATAACTCAGTACAGCCGTTAATACATTTAAACAGCAGGCGAGAACAACATGAAACAACATTTGCAATATAGTTCACTTCTGTGATGTGAGGTATTTTCTGCATGAAACTGAATAATCAGAGGAAAACGATATAGACTTCTGGGACTTTTGGATGCCATGTATCCATTTCCGTCCATTTTTGTTATATAATATTGTATATAATAATAATAATATGGGTATTATTTGTAGCATTACTATAAATTAAAAATTATTATAAATAATAATAATACATATCTAAATAAATAATATTAATATAATATTAATATTTATATTATTTACACTACAATAAATAAATATTATTGTATTATTTATTGTAGTGTAAATAATACAATAATAATATTTATATTATTTACACTACAATAAATAAATATTATTGTATTATTATTTTTAATTAGTATGAATAATAACAATAGCAATAATAAATATTAATATTTTTTTTAAAATCATAAATAATAAATAAATAATATTATAGATCATATTTATTTATTTATTTATTCTGGATAATATGAATTTATAAATTATGTTATTAATGATGATATTGATGTATTATTATAAATAAATAGTAATGTATTATTTTATTTATAAAATATTAACAATATTAATAAATATTAATATTTTTAAATAATAAAATATTTTAATACAAATATTATATTAATCAATATATAATATTAATAATAATTATTATTATTATGTATTGTAAATAAAAATATTAATAAGTATTATTATAGATCATATGAAATTATTTATTCTAGAAAATATTATGTATTAAGAAATAAAGTAATTATTTTTTCCCCAGCTGCACGGTTATGTCAGCAGAAAAGAAAAGTGGAGAAAGTAATTACATTTTCATTATAGATTATAAAAGCAAATTTTGGAATAAAGTGCACTGATGGGGGAAACATCGATGTTTATTCAGATATTTGGGTTTATTCTGACTTCCTGTTTTCTGTTAAATTAAAATTTTTCTGTTTGTACTGGTTTCAGGCTGCGTTTCTATGTGATCATGACCAGTCAGAGGGAGCTGTTCCCGCGTTTGACTGCAGACATGCGGCGCTTTAAGAAGCTTCCGCAGATCCACCGTGACCCCGGTGACCTCAGCAGCCGCATCCCTGTGGAGCAGATGGAGGCTGGCAGCCCGGGGGAGCGGGAATCTGAACTGGACCTGTGGGAGGACACCACCGCCCCCGTCACCCCTGCAGCCAGCCCTGAGTCTGACCCCATGGAGAGCCTCCTGCACGCAGACGCAGACACAGACGACTCCCAGGGGCTCTTCTACCTGTGTCCTCTCTTCCCCCTGCTCAGTTCGGAGGTGCTGTCTGCTCGCCGGCAGATTCAGAGCAGCGTGGAGCAGGCCATGGGCCACTGCCGCAGGGATAACCTCTGGAGGAGGCTCTTTCATGGAGAGTACTTGGCTCTGGATAAACTCAAACTCAGCAAGCTGACCTTCGGTGAACTGGAAGAGCTGCTGGATGCTGTGCAGAGCAGATCGGTTTCTGAGATTGACCCGCAGCTGGTATGAAAACACATCCACTGCCCTTCACCTCTAAGAACATCTTTCACACCCATTCATCTAACATTTTATATTCCTTTCTCTTTGTTCTCTAGCAGGCACTTTCCACAAATAGGTACAAAATAGGGTCTTAATAGGTTTTTTTTTTCTTTTCTTTTTCAACAAATACTTGAAAACACTAAATTTAATTTAATTTAATTTAAAATAAATT